AAGGTCTTGGCTTGTCCAATATTTCTGACCTAACCCCTCTTTAGATTTCTGTCATGGGACTGTCCCCTTTTGGGACTATGTACTCTGAAATGTTCCATTCTTGGGGGTGGGGGGGAAGAAATTTTTATAGCCTGGGGCAGTGACCAACAGTAAGAATCAGGACAAATGAGAGCTGTAACTTTATTTTGTAGTGGAGGGTGGAAAAGGAGAAGCAGAAGACCACAGCCATCTATTTTTAGGAGAGATGATTTTTAGGTAAGGGTACATCTGAATCTGAAAATCTGGAGAATTCCCTTAAAAATATAACCCAGTTTAAAGATTAAAGATCTGTCCTAGGATTCAGGTGGGATAAAAATATAAGTTGAAACTTCCTAAAATTTCTCTTATAATAAAAAGCTAACAGCTCAGTTCTGCTAAAGGAAAGAGTTTGTATTCTAAAATTATATTAAATAGAACTGTTCCAATCATTAACTTCATGAGTTTTTCCTTCATCTAAGTATGAATAAAGAGAAAAGCACTTGAAAATTTTCAATCAAAGAACCACTAAAAAGATTAATTCACCTCAGAATGTTTACACACAGAGGGAGACACCCGCGCACAGACGGTAGAGCTATTTAACACGTCAAGCTCTGACTCAATCAGCTAATACGTGCTGGACGTGATTAAACTTTGAGCTTAGCTGCCAGCTATGATTTGTCCCAGTTAGTTAAAGCAGTAACAATTTTTAGTCACTAAGACTTGCCTCATCAAGTTAATAATACCTTATTCCAGTGTCAAAATTAGATTTAAAACTTTGAGAAGGTTTAAAGATTCAGAAGCAAACAAGAATAAGAGTATTCAAAAAACCAGACATGGATTCAACACAATTCCATCACCATCTGACAAATGGCTGTCCTTACTTCAAAATTCTGAGTGTACATAATAGAAAAAAATTGTGTAATATCATCTAACTATATTATTTTCTTAATTGACCAAATCTCAGCTATAAACAAAAGGGTTCATTCAAGAAGTATATTATGACAGCAGGTCCCTTTGTACAGTATTCAAAGTCCATTGAGAAGCAGTCCTCAAGTCCAGAGACTAAAAGAGATTAAAGTTTAAGATTTTAATCCTCGCAAAGAGCACAGTAGCCTTCCTATTAGATTATCTACTTATTTTATGACTCTACTAGTTGCCTGAAAGTGATGGGAAGATTAAAAACAACAGTTGAGAAAGTTCATCAATTTGCCCATGAGAAACAGTAACTCTGACTTTCCTTGGCAATGATGGTGGTGGCAAGAACCACCTTTAGATGATCTAATTTTTCTCTTTTTCTCATAACTCAGGAATTGTCCAAATAAACTAATCCAGAAAGCCAAAGTTGTGCTCCATATTTCCCATGCTCTTGCCCATACAAAAGTTACAAACGCTCTTGGAATAGTCATTATGTTCTCTACAGGTTCTCCAGCAATATTTAAAACAAAGCCACTGCCATTTCCTAAAATGACAATGGCCAGTTTGTGAACTTAAAAGAGGCAGAAAGTAACCACAGGGAAAAGGCCCTGTGAACATGAGGACATGGATCAGGGAGATGCTTCTACGAGCCAAGGAATGCCAAAGACTGCCCGTAAACCACCAGAAGCTAGCAAAGAAGTATGGAACAGATCTTTATCCAGCCCTCAGAAGAAACAAACCCTGATGAAACCTTTATGGCAGACTTCTAGCCTCCAGAACTGTGAGAAAATATATCTGTTGTTTGGGGGTGGGGGAGGCAGAAAGTATCTAAAATCAATAATCTTAAATGAATTTGTTACTAAGTATGTACCAGTTTTTGGTTTGAAATCCACATGGAAACATTCAAATCCAGAAAGATCCATTTACTGAAGCTATTTCTGCTAAAGTAGCAAATCTACTGGGCTTTATAACTGGCAACTTCATTGCTTACAGAATCCCCAAGGTAGATTCCTAGATTCAAGGTCCAGGGAACTGAACTTTCTTTTGTAGTCTTTTCCATTTTGACACTAAATGGAGTGAAGAAAAAATTTAAAAACAAAACAAAAACCAACCAAAACAAAGTACCAGTGAAAGGAGAAATAGACCTACTGTAGCTGGATAGCCAATCAGCAGTTATGAAATGTATGATTTTGATCAAACTGCTATAAACAAACTAAAAATACGTAAACCTGGCTCTGCAAACTTCCAACTGTTTGTATCTGCTTTATCATTCAGAGCAGATCCAACCCACATTACAAGAATTCAAATATACTGTACTATCCTTGAGATTAACAGTTTGCTAACCAGAATGCTTAAAGAAGAATTTTGGGCCTATCTTTCGGACTATATGAAAACTGATTCTAGATCTTGTTTTTACTTAGCTCATATTTATAATCCCTAAGAACATCATTATTTTAGTTAACAATAATTTCCAGATTTTTTATTATTTACATGGTCAGACCACCCTACCAGTAAATGATACAGTGTATTTCTTTTTTAAGATAACGGATCTCAGAGTTTTTGGTCCAAAGCTACCTTAAGCAGATATGTAATTGGGAAAGGAAGCATTTTAATAGCCTTTTCAGATCATTGTGGATATTCTTCTTTGATACTGCACTAAAACTTGGTGACTGTTTCTTAATGATTAGTTACAAGGACTTCACCCCTGAGTCTTCAGGTCCTGGGGTGGTCCATAAACCACACTTTGCAAATGGCTGTTGTTTCAAACCATTAACTCTATTTAATCTAAAAAGTGACTAAAAAGTGACTTGGATATATTAGTTACAGAAAAGGCTGATGCATATGAATATGGGAAAGGGTGGTAGGAAATGGTGCAGAATGGACTTTGTCCATTCTTTGATAAAAGTTTGATAAAAACTGTAAATATCTGTATAATCTCACTAAAATAATTTTGGTAAAGGATGTCACATTTTGCTGTTCTTAGTTAGAAAGAAAAAGAACAGCAATAATTCTCTTAGAAAACAAAATAACTAGTATCCCTTCCCTTAAGGGTTCCTTGCAGCCCCACATTCCCCTGTGGCCCTAAGTATGTACTTAGAGTGTTTTCTACTGAACCAGGAGTTCTGTTCTTCCCAGCAAGAATCTCACAATACGTACTTGTCAGGAGCCCCGGGCACCGTCAAACAGGTGAAACCTAACATCTGTAACTGTCCTCATTTCTGCTGTGATCTAGAAAAAGGCCACTCTGTTTCAAGTAAATATAGCATGTGCCAAAGGACAGGTGATGAAATGGAGGCTGTTTGTTAGATCTTGGGGCCCTTTCAACACCTAAAATAAGACAGAAGGGCGTGTCAGAGGTCAAGGTGGGAGAGTATCTCCAACATAAGCTACTAATACCCTTTAATTCCCAGCCTTTCTGCCACCTCTGTCCACTGCAGTCTTCTGTACAGATTGTTCAAGTATGACACTTTTCTCCCTTGTGAATGATAGCTTTCTACGCTAAACATTAGCTACTTTTGCTTAGGTGAGCAAAGCCTCAAGACTGAAATTTTTTTGAAAAGGCAGAAACACAAATTTGCCAATAACATCAAGATATGTAGGCATAAAGACCCAACACTGATAAAGATTTCCAAGGAATGAAATTCAGTGCCACTGCCAAATGATATGCATCAGAAATACTCCTAGCTTGTTTAGTGAAATGGGTTTAAGTTTTCCTACAGGACTTCCTGGCAACCAGTATCAACCTTTATATCAATATAGCAGAAGTTAGAGCTGCTTCTTGCTGTTCCGTGAACAGAGCCAGGCAAGCTATTTTAATGAATGACAAACATGGGAAACTTTGGCTATTTACAACTAAATTCCATTAAAAAACACACCACAGAATGCCCAAGACTTAATAGTTAATTAAGAATCACTTTTGTTTACATTTCTGTTGGGCTGGGCCTATGTTTGATGCACAATTCCAATGAACTTATATTGACTTTGTTTAATACTCAATAGCCCTATTATGTTGCTATTCTGACCCCAATTTTACAAATGTCAATCCTAATTTTCTTGTTGTTTTAGAAATGAAGATTAAAGTTTTATAAGTAGTACAGAGAAGTGAAGAAGCTGATCATAATTGAAAATGGTCAAACTAATATGCAAACTTGCGTAGTGAATAGATATATATGTACGTATATATGCATGTACATATATTTACTTATTTAATCAGTCCTCTTTTTGTGAATCTCAGCCAATGTCATGTTCAATAATCAGAATCTGTAATAAACACTCTTAATTCTTCCTGTCTATTCATCTAAATATGCATGATTTTATACAAGGGTGTAGGAGAAAGAAGTATGGTCCTAGTAATATGTAGAAACTCTCAATTCAGGTTCTGGTTTTCCTGTTGGGGGTTAATTTTAATATTTCATTAATTCTCCCCACACCAGTGCAATTTCTTTAAAAAATAAGTAATTTATTTGTAGACCATAGATAGATAACAGGATATATATTAATATGCATTTTAAATTGAGAACAACAGTTTTCAAAATAAGGAAAAGAGAATCTTCTTTTTAAGTTTGATTTGCAGAATAAAGCATAATCAAACAAATTCCAACAAAAATATTTCTCCATTTAGTAATTCAACTTGAAGGTTAGGATTTCATGAAAAATTATGAAATACCTCTTAAAATGTTTATTATAAAGAGATTTCAAGAAACTAGCAACTATTTTTACTTCAGCTGACAAATAGCAAAACATAAGAACAGAGTACAGTGATAAAACCCAAGTTAGCATCTTTTATTAGCAGGGTTATGGCTCCAAATCTCAGAGTAAGGAGACATCTTTTAAAGGGAAATAGCACGAAAAACATAAACCTCCAGTTTAACTTTGCTCCTAGTGAATTATGACTTCAAAAAAGAATGAAGCCCAATAGCTATTAAACACACCACCCAAGGTGAAAAGTAATAGTCTTATAGTAGCAGATTAACCTGTATCTGTTCAGTTTTCTACAGCAACCCAAAAATATATTCCATAAATCAAGATCTACGTGGGCCACTTCAATTTTTGAATACATTACCTACCTTGTTCCAGAATGTGAAGAAGAAACGAACGTAGTGGCTGGATTAAAATTATAAATAGGTGTGTTGTCAGGACTGTGCTGTCTATATTACTTTAAATATAAATGAGTATTTGAATATAACAGGTGGTATTTCTGCTAGAATCTACTTCACTTCCAGTATTCTGAAGCCTAATGGGAAGAATAAGTAGATTAATTCATTAAAAGATGAAACAACAAAGAAAGCTTTTTATTTTCTTGCAAAAAGCTAAGTTAAACTATTCACTTGTAGAAAAAATTAACTCTATACTTAGTTTCACATAAAAAATATCTTAAGTTTTGAGGACTAGAGACAACATAGTAATATACATTTTAAAATATATAATTACAAGTACTCTTATGATAAAGTACAGGTTCCTATGGGGGAAAAATACTGTATTGTGTAGATGTGAGACGACGCCCAACTTAGTATGTACAGGAGCAATGTGTGTCGGACTTTTGGAGCAGATGATATTTAGCCTGAGACTTGAAGGATAAATAGGAGCTAGCTAGGCCATGGAGTGATGGTGGAAAAGAGCATTCCAGACATGAGTACTGAAGCTATAGTCACAGTACAGGGTGCACTGGAAAACGTGAAAGAATTTTACCAAAGCTAAAGCTAAAGAGAGAGCAGAAAGAATGGGGAGAGATGGGAAGTTGGAGAAGTAGACACAACCAGACAGTGGAAAACCTTATGAGTTATTTTTGTAAGAAGGCACTCTGGTCTTGAAGCTAATCAAAAGCAGTTGATGAGTTTTAAGTGCGGCTAGGGTTAGCATGCTCAGATTTTGCTTTTTTGGAACATCAATCTTTATACAATGTGGAGAATGGGCTGGAGGGAGGTTGTTGGAGTGCTGCGAGATCACAGTGAGACAAGATGGACAGCAGTGGGATGGAAGAGAGCGGGGAACAGACAGGATTCAGCAGTGGACCAGATGTGGCAGACTGGGGAAGCCAGGAGTTTAAAAAATCTCCCAGCCCTGCCAGAGTAGTTCAGTTGCTTAGAGCATCGTCCAGTATGTCAAGATTGTGGGTTCGATCCCCAGTCAGGGCACACACAAGAATCAACCAATGAATGCATAAATAAGTGGAACAACAAATTGATGTTTCTTTCTCTCTCTCTCTCCCTTTCTCTCTTGCAAATCAATAAATAAAAATTAAAAAAAAAAATCTCCCAGGTTTCTAGCTTGAGCAAATAGGAGTTTATGAGTTTATTAGGTTGTATTTGTCTCCACTTAGCCAAAGGGACCTTAAGAAGTTGTGTGAGTAGCCCAGGGCTGTTCAGCTTATATGGCTTGGAAACAAAACTCAAATCCATTCCTGTCCTCCCTGTTTCTGTTGATGTTACTGATGATGTTTTTTCTTATTTTTTCCCTATAAACATTTCTCTAAAAGATAGTACTATTTAAAAAATCATAACCACAATACCATTATTCCTTTAAAAATTAATATCACCAAATAAACAGGCAGTGTTCAAATTTTTCTAAATTGTTTTTTAAATCATTGGTTTGGTTTGGGATACAAACAAGGTCACGCATTATATTTGGTTGATATATTTTTTAATCTAAAGGATCCTCCTTTCTTTATTTTCCACATAATTTATTTGTTGAAGGAACCAGGTTATTTTTCCTGCAGTTTCCCTCATTCTGGATGTGTCCCTCTGGTATAGTTTTAACATGCCCTAGTTTAGCATGTCCCTCTAGTCCCTGTATTTCCTATAAATTGGTAGCTAGATTGAAGACTGAGCATGCTTTGATCAGTTCAGGTTTGATTTCTTGAGAGTAAGAATAGTGTGGGGGAGAGGGCAAAGGTAATTCACAGGTAGTAGTGTGCATTTCTATCAGGAGGCATATGATATTTGGTTGTCCCCCTCATTCTGCTGTATTAAATGCCCTAGTTCCATTATTTCATTAGTTGTTTGCAAATGGCAATAATTTAACTATGCCTTTAATTCTAACATTTCTTCTTAATTTATTAACTAGAATACCTCTACAAAGAGAAGTAGTTTGAATAGGAAGGGCAAGTTAAAGTTTGTGTGCTTTAATACAAATGATTGAGACAGTATTTTGTTAAAATGCTTTTATCACTTGATAGTAACATTTCAAATGGTGTTTAGTATTTGGAATATTTAGAATTTCTGTTCTTAAATTGATAGGATTTCTTTTGTTTTTTTCTTGAAGAGCTTATCTGTTTCCATAGCTTTGGGAGTATTTCTGGTAGAACCACTACCAAATCTAAATCTCTAGCTACTGTAACCAGATTGCAGATTTTAAATTCCTTGAGGACAGGGATAGACTGCTTTTCTGAGTGACCTCCTTTTCCAGTTACCTTATGGGCATTTCAAACTGCAGCCTGTTCTCAGCTTCCCTCTATACCCCAAACCTAGTCTTCTGTCCACCATTCTTCTAAGCAGCCAGCTTAAAACCTGAGTCATCTTAATACTTCTCCAGTGGGGCCCCTGCCCTCCCAAATGCAATTAACTGCCAAACCCATCTCCCCTTTGTTATCTCATGTCCATCCTCCCATTTTTATTATTGTTACACACTTCAGGCTGCTGCCACAATTGGTGCGGTGGCTTTCTACCTTCTATCATTGCCATTCCCCTTCTCCAAACTGTATTGAGTTCTGATCATGTCATTACTCTGACAAAAACTTCCCAGGGCTTTCTAGTGCCTACCACACTTAGTATTTGTCTGGATTTATCTAAGTCTGCTATAATGTACAGCCCCAAGTTACCTTTTTAAGTTGTATACATTTATTTTTCCTTTAATTTGCCCTGGCAAATTGGTATTTTTTTCCGTATTTTCCCTGCATTTTTTTCCCCTCTTTTCTTTTTGGTCATAGAATTCATTTTATAATGGCTCTGTATGGCAGGAAGACTAGCAGAGGCCATAAGTTTGAGCGCTGGTATTGTGGATGAAAAAAGGTTTCTATGGAAAGTAACCTCACAGGGTAATCTGATCATAAATTCCTAACTGGGCAGATCATGGTCATGCCCCAAGCATATAACTTTTTTAGTAAAAGGTTTTATCTTTGCCTTAAGCAAGCCCTGCCCGTTGTTTCTGTGCTCAAATTCATAAAAGTTCTCTACAGGTTTGGACATTTTTTACTAGACAGTGTCATACAGAGAAGTGATCAAAAGAGCAATAAAGATCTTATGGAAATGGTGATTTCTCTTTTGGGGTCACAGTATATACAATGACAGCAGGAGTTCACATCTACCACAAAGTGAGATTGGCTAGATGTGCTGAGCCATCGAAGAGTACCACTGATCATTTATGCAGAAGCAGGATACAGCTCTGTTGGTTGCCCCCACAACCCTACTGCTAATCTCAACAACTCATAATTTTGTTGAATCTGATTTGATTACAGTGACTTAGCCTTTGTATAAAGGAGAAACTCCTCAAAATATACAGGCATTATAAGGTGCATATTTGATCAATGATTGAAAAATATTTCTTTCCTGTGATTTTGATTACTGAATGAATGAAAGCCCGATGACACTGCTCTGGTGTGTTAAACTACTGGATAGTAACAGGGCTTTTAATATGATGCCTTGAGTTGTGAGAACCAAAGTTAAGTTTTTACTTTATTAACTTCCTCTTCTATTCCCTTATCAGTGGATTGATCCTCTATGGTGGGTGGAATTCAAGGAGTCTGTGAGTTGGTTGGGGTAAAAAATTACATTGAAAGATCTTTCAGTTAACCTCTAAGTTTAGAATTTATTTCAACTGTGAATGTAGGCAACAAACCACAGTAGCATTAGTAGTACCTGTGACTTTGTCACCAATAGAAAACACATTTTTTATGTCCTGATACAGTGGTTACAGCTATCTTGAAATTGTTTAAAGTAATCAGTACTTCAAAATTACTGTGGTTATCAGACCTACTACATGATCTTATTTATTTTTAGAAGCACATTATTATATCCAATCAAAATATTCTAACAATTATACCTTTGTATTTTATGCACTTAAAAACATTATTCTGACAAGGGATCCGTAGGTTTGAACAAACTGCAAAGGAATCTGTGGCACCAAAGAGCCCAAGGACTCGTTTCTAACTCCTGTACTTCTGATGTGAGAATGAAGTTAGCCAGAACCTGTGATGCAACGCACCACAGGAATCATGAGGTCATAGCATTATGTAGCCATGATGTCACAGGTTATGTAAATCTTTTGGCCATTGACTTTTGTGTACTAAAATCGTCATAGATTCTGATCTCACAAATGAGAGGAAACAAGATTTTCACAAATTCAGGCAGAATGATTTTCCTTTGCTTTAAGGAAGTATATGTTCATAAAACTTAAAATTACTGTTTACAGAGGAGTTCTATTTTAAGTGCCATAAGTTAAGTAAAACAATGGGCATCTTCACTGACTTGAGGGATTTTCTTGCCCTCTTTTGGGTGCATCAGCAAATGTCCTTGAAACTGCTTCAATTCTTGTCTTCAACAGCTTGCTACATTAGATGCAGGCCTTTATTTTGCTTGACCAGAGGAACCCTAAAGAGGCTGATGAACCTCAGGTTTGAAATATTTGCTCTGTAGGTTAGAAATACACATCCTCATGATCAGTCTAATGTGTTTGTATAATGAATGATGTTTGTATTTACTCTATCACCTAGAAAACTACTTAATGGAGGAGATGGAAGAGGAGTGGTTTAACAATTACTATAGTTTCCAAGAAAATAAAGCACTCATTTGAAAACTCATTTCTAATAAAGGAACTGATAATTACCTTAATGATAACATAGCCTTAATATTTATACATATTGTCAGCAATGAAAAAGGCTATGTAAATTTAACTGTAGTATATTTTGAGGTAATCCTGACTTCTTTTTGATATATCTTTAGTGTCTATGAATATATTCTAAAAAAAATTTGCTATTTAAATGAAAATTTGTGAATGGTGGATAATGCTTTAATATTAGACCAGTGATTTTCAACCTTTTTCATCTCATGGCACACATAAACTGATTACTAAAATTCTGTGGCACACCAAAAAATGTATTTTTGCAGTTCTGACGGAAAAAATAGGTATCATTTTGATTCATTCACACTGGATAGCTATTGTTGTGTTGGCTGTTGCCCTTTTTTAATTTCACAATCTAAGGGAAAAGAGGTCAGTGTGCCTAACTAAATAGCCAGGTATTGCATGTTTTAAAAATTGTTGCAGCACACCAGTGTGCCTCTTGTGACACGGTGGTTGAAAATCGCTGTACTAGACAAACGATACTCAATTTTAATACACTTTTGTGGTTTGTCTGTTACTAATCAAACAAGAAAGCAGCTTAGTTCTCTGAGATAGTAAGGATCAAAGGTAGCATAATAATGATGTTCAGGCTCATTCAAAGGATATTAAACAATTACTGTGCATACAAGAATTTACTAGAAAGGGATAGGAGAAATATGTATTTCAAAATATGGCTTGAAAACTTTTAGAATGAGAATAAAGCTTTGAAAGGAAATAGTATATCCTAAGTCTCTCATAGTGCCTGGTAGCCAGTAACAAATTGCTGAATACATAAAAATTCACAACTTCCTGGTCTGTTTTTCTCATACTCCTCATCTTCAACAAAAACAGAATGGCATGAAGGCATTTACAGGGACCTAAATCCTGCATAGGAATGCAAATTATGAAGTGGATTGAAAAAACAATGGGAAAGAAGAACAAGCTGGGAAAAGTTACTACTCTAAATATCAATTTTCAGTGTGAAATAATTTATATCCATATTTGTACTTTTAGAGAAAGCTCAGGAGTGCCAATCTGATTAAATGGGAGTCAAAACACATAATTCCCAGCCAACCATTAAGATTTTAGAAGATTATATACCACTACCTCTCCAACCTGTTTCCTAATCTGTAATATAAGGGAACCTCACTGTTAAGATCTTTTTCAGAGTTAATATTATATGCATTAATATTTAAAAGGCCAAAAGATATGTAAACAATTGAAACACTAATCTGTTGGTTTCATCGTGTGCTCTTTCCCCCCCTTTTAAATTTGTTTAGGTATGTTATAGCCTATTATGTTAAGCTTACAACTAAGCCTTTAAACCTATTCAACTATAAAAATCTCACAAAATGCTCTCCAGCCCTTTAACTTGCATATTTAACAAGGGTCACAGCAATCTGATGAAAGAATATCTAAACTCTGACTTAATTACTGAAGTATGTTCAATTTCTGTTTAAGTAATACCCACTACCTGTTTTAAGGGCTAGATGTCGAATTCCTTATCATTTATATGGCAATGCGAAGGCAAATTGTACCGCAGGGTGTAAGACTTAGATTTATGGGTACTATTTAATGCTTAACTAAAAAGCTGAAGATACATAGACTCTGCCTTCACCTCACTGGGCGGCGAGCTGCCATGAGAATTATTAATGGCTAATTCCTACTCAGTCTTTCCAAACTCGCACACAATTCAGAGTTCCCCCTACCACAACATCCCAGCAGTTACTAACCCCGCGTTTATTTTATCAGGGCATTGGCATGTACACATTTTATTTAGAAACCAGAATATTTGAAAAAAAATCTTCAAAACCAGTTGTGATAAAGCAGCTTGTAAACATTTTGCTGTTATCAGTAGACGCCTAGCTCATACGCAGACGCCTGAAACTCGGCTGAAAGTAGTAAGATGCTTGTTACGATTAATTTACAAATTAGTTTTAGCAACTGCTTGTCGCACCAAGTAAGTCACGACAAATGAAAGGTTAAGACACACGTGGAAGAAAAGGATGTACTTGGAACAAAAAGCGTGCGTCCGACCAAGGGTAACGCTGTCCTTCGGATTCCTCTCGGCAGGGCCGCCCCAGAGCCCGCGGGCGCGAGGGCGCTGCGGCTCACGTTCCGCAGCCACCGGTTGAATGACAAAGAGACCCCGTCAGCAACTGTCCCCTCGGCAAAGTCCCCTCGAGCCCTGCAGTCACGCCCCGGCTGCGGGGACTGCAGAGTCCCAAACCACTAGCGCAGGTCACCAGGTGGGACAAGGACTGGCTGGCCAAGGAGGCTGGGACGGGCATGCCACGAGTCCAAAATAACTCCCGCCCGCGTCCCTCTCCTCCGAGCAGAATGCGGCCAAGAGAGTCTGGAGGCACCACGTGAGTCAGCCCCACGTCGTCCCTTTTTCAGACCAAAAGCACTTCTTAAGGAGCCGCCTCAGTACTAGCGGGGAAGCGACTTCCCCAAGGTCACCGGGACCACGACCCAACTTCTGGGCCAGGCCGGTGACCGGCACCTGACCGCGGTCTCCCCAGCGCCTCAAGGTCTCCTTCCCCAACGCTGCGCTCCGGGGCCACGCGGCTGCCCCCGGCCACGATGCGGCTGCCCCCGGCCACGATGCCGCTGCCGGGCCGCCTCCCTACCCCGGAGACCAAATTCTCCGCTCCTCGGAGGCGGCCCGGGCACCCCGGGGTCCGCGCCCAGCGCCGCCCGCGATTACCCAACTAACCGTTAAGCGCGGCTCCGGCGGCGGGCGTGTGCGTGACGC